TTCTTCATTTGCTAAGTGGCCAAGCAGCTCTACAGTCTTTCCGTCTCTCATGGTACCTAGTGATCAGGCATTTTACCAGTGAACTAGACTGTCTGGTACTCCAGTGTATGAATCCTGCCTCCACAAGAGCTGCAAGAAGACAAGCTTCCCTTGCCAGGTAGCTACTGGAGAATGTGACAGTGACAGCAGGATTAGAGATGAAAGGGAGACGCAAGATCACCTGATTTCCAATCTGTTCAGCAACACAAATCGGAGGGCTGAAGCAGACCTGAGCAACAGCTGGAGAACCAGAAATGCCGTAGGTAACAAATACTATCAATAATATTTCAGACACAGAAATAAAGAAGTAAAGTACAAGTGACTAAACAATACCACCTTAAACATGCACTGTTTAAGGGCAAATGTATCACACATACAGAAAGTGGGGGGGGGTTTCCTCTCCCCCGCCCCCCTGAAATATTGCTGCTTTATTTTAAAATGTTCCACACAGGAACCTTTCGCCTCTTTAGTATTCAGCCAAAAAAAGATTTTGAAAGCAGTATTATCTTCATGTTATAAACACAGAAACCGACAAAAAGATCTAAGGAGTCTAACAAAATGGAAAAAAAGTGTGTTTTGTCCAGTAGCATTGCAAAAGTCTGCTTTGATAATCCAAAAATAAAGACAGAGAAAAATTAACTACTTGATAGTGCTACACATTTGAAGCACCTTAACAGTGCATTCAGCATCTGTCAAATTAACTAAGCTACAAGATAAGAAACTATAGCCCTTATGTTACAATAACTTAGAAACTGATCTTCAACGCTTACTAATGGCAAAACTAATTTTTAATTCTACTTTGCATTCAATTGCCCTAATAAATAGCTATTTCACCATTATTCATTATTATTATATTTAAGATTTTTTATGATCTACTCTTGCTATTGTAGTCTATATTAGAATTGCTTTTCTGTTTCTTTAAACATGGCTTTTTCTTAAAGCAAACCATAGCAACTACAAAGAAGTTACCTGCAGCCCCTAAGCTTAGAGTGAATTGCTCAAGCATTACTAATTTTGAGGTGGGAGGAGTTGAAGAAATTAGGTCTTTTTATATAAAAAGCTTAAATGACTCATGAAAATTCTTTTGGCATAGCTTATACATGCTCGACAACAACAATGTATATAGCACCGTCCATCACTCAAGTGCTGTACAAACTAGTTAAGAGTTTAACAATTAAAACCAAAACCCTGCCCTGATGACCAGCGAAACCAACCTCATTTTCACATGACAAAGAGCAGAACTCAAGAAAAACATCAGGCATAAACTTGCTATTTCTGAGAGCAGGGAACTGGTTGTTACTGAATAAAGTTTCCTTATCAGCTCTATAAAGTACCTTACACGTGATATTCAATAAATTAGTGTTTAAAAACTATAAGGTATCTGGCATAACGGTCCAGGAGATTTCCAGCTGGCCAAAATGTCTGTAAGGGAACAGGTCAGCACCATCATATCCACTTATGATTTCTGACCTTGGCCAAATTTCCAGGCTAGCCGCCAGTAATGGCACACTGTCACAGAAGAAAAACCTGATGATTTTCTTCAGCACTCCAAGGGAAGAGCCACATACTAACTATAGATGATTGATTTGAAGTTGATCTGATGAAACGGTCTATTGAAGAGGAAACAAGATCAACAGGCATCTCTGGATCTGAATGTCTGGTCCACCTATCAGTAATTGTGTCTGGTAATCATTTTCATAGGCTAATTAAATTACAATTGCTTTTTGCTTTCCAGCACTCTTTTTAGGATATTCCAGAACCTAGTTGCACTAGTGATCTGATATTTATTTTCACACTACTTTTAGCTAGAGACAAATTACCTATACACCCCTTTTGCCACACACAGATCTTCCTTTCTGTCAGTCCTGCTTCCACCTCTCAAATGCCTGCATCCACCTCTCAAATGCCTGCATCATTCTCTGTCAGCTAAACATTCTTGGTCATCTGGTCAGAACAGCCAGAGATTTATACTGTATTAAGTGCCACGGTCCTGACCCCTCGACTTACTATGAAACAATTAATCTAATAGGGAAGCTAAGACTCAGTAACAGCCTTGATCTTCCTCAAGCTCACATGTTGAAAAAGGAAGTCCATCAGAAGTAAGATCATACATAAGCAATGTGCCACATAGTTTATAGCTTTTTGGATATGCCACTATTTCAGACTGCACAAACAGCCTGATATGTCTCCTGAGAGCTGCCAAACATCTGGCTCCACTGCTTTTCTCTTCATTCATTGCAACCTAAAATCAAAAAAGGGAATGCAAAAACTCTCTCAAAGTGCTGCTGGCCTTCCATATTGAAGACAAAGCACCCACAAAGGAAGAGCATCTATCCATCAGATGACACAGGAGTGGATTTCCTTAATTAGAGACTAGCTAACATTAGAATCAGCAAGCGAACAGAAGGCTCCACGCATTGCTACTGCTTCTACCTACAACCTTTATCTCAGTTCCTCCGCACCCTATACCGAGTACCTACCCCACAGTATTCCCTTTGTCTTCTTCTCCCACTCAATTTTCTGCCTGAAACAACTCTCCTCCTTTTACATGCCACTTAGAATTCTCTCCCTTTCTTTCAATACTTCCTTACACCAATTCCCTCCAGCTTCTTTGTTCCACTCAACTCTGTTGGGGGGCTTCCATTGCTATTATCCACGCTGCACAACAGGAGCATTGCTTCAGTCATCACACACCTTGTCATCCACGAAGACAAGTGTGGCTTAAAGACATTCTGTAAAGCACACCTGATGGGGCAACCCAAGATTTCAGACCTTACAGTGAACAGCTACTCCCTTTTAGCTGTTCATCCAGCAGCGATAACTAATTCTTCGATCCAAAATAAAAGCCCAAAGGGGAATATGCTCACACAAAAGACAGAAATGAATTCAGAAGTCCCTCTGCTCTGGTTTGGAATCATCTGTCAGTTAGATCAAGATCAGAAAAATGGCCACTCTTTCACACCAAAGGCAGCAGCATTCTGGGTAAGCAAAGAGCAGCCTTAACAGGGATAAGAGTTCATTATGAAATATATCTCAAGATGGGGCTGGCAATTAGCATTCAGTCTGCCACATGTAGCACTCTAGAAGCACACACCTGGAGCAGTCAGGGTGTGCCCTTTTACAGGTGCATGTACCATTCAGCCCAGGGCCTTCCAGCCTGTATGAATCATCTAGCAGCTACTGAACAATCTCCCTGTTCACCTCAACATCCTACAAGAAAAAAAAAATTTGAAACATTCTTACTGTAATTTTCTCCCACATAAGAGGATCTCCCTAAACACACAGAAATCTATAGTAAGTGTGGAGCTCTTCAGCTACATCAGGTGTGCAGGCTTTCCAGGTCCTTCACGGAAACCTGAGCAATCTGAGTGCTTTTTACTTTACTCTTTTGCTTTTGAAGCATGTGCAATACTTAATACTTCTGAGGCGCCTTATGTTTCCAAAGCACTATACAAACACCAGCTAATTAGAGACAGCTAACAAGAATATCCTGAGATACTGAATCTCAGTGTGTAGCAAGGATTTTTAATTTTTTCCCCCAAAATAGGAAAAGTTAAGGATTGAAAGATGCCTAAGAGTGTGCTCTCTGAACTGTGGAACAGTACCTTCAGGCAAAAAGCATTATATTTGAGACTTCCATACTGCCAGCAAGTGTGAAAGACCCAGCCAGCCTGGCCAAATAGGAATGGATCTGGTTCCAGCAGTAGCTGCTGAGAAGGTACCACATATGATGTCAGTTGCAATTTCTATTCACAACAGACATCCATATTGTACACGCTTTTCTCCTGAACCGGCCCTACAGCACAGCCATGCCTCTAGGGGCTCTGTTCTGAAGAAAACAACCAAAAAGAAACCGCTAATCCCTTAATTAGGGGCATCCACTTCACCTTCTACAGGAATAATTTAGAAAATCTGAATGGGCCACATGTCACACAAGGCAAAAAATTAATAACTGAAAGTGACTCAGATTGTTGGTTCATTTCTCTGTACTTACACTTAACCGTGCAACACTACTGAAGGGAAGTACTCAGTGTTAATTGAGAACAGCTTCACAAACCACTCATCGCTGCCTTTTTCAAAAGTCATCCTCTCTCAAATTTCTGATGGGAATTGCATTACACCAGCCAAGACACTGATCCTAGGTCTCAAGCACAGCTCCAGGAATACACAATTAAGGCCACATTACTTTGAATTTTCATAAACCTCCTGTTTAAGCCACAACAGCTAGGGGATTAACAGTACTTTCCCAGCTGAGCTACTTCACTGCTTGCAAGATAAGAACAAAAGCACGCACCATATTCATGAAAAAAGCCTGTTAGGTCTCATCATCCATTCTGCTACCCCCTTCCTCAGACCTCCCACACAATGATTGCATCATAACACAGTCCTACAAAGCTACGTCCACTAGGCGAGTCAAACCCCATAATACTCGGGATACCAGTGGCATGAACCAGACTATCTACCATCAATGCAAAGGTCAGAGTCAAAAGCCTCTCTTCCCTCCCACTGACATTTCTAGGTTGCTCTCTTCAGAAGGAGCTGCACACACTATTCTATGTGTATCCATCTTTTACAGTAAAAAGGGTAAGTAAGGTCCACCTCCCTTTACCCAAGAGCCTACCTCCTTTCCACTCACAAATATCTGAGAGGAACACTACTGCATAAAACATTACTCCATTTCTCCAATCAGGTGAAGAGGGACTCAGGTAATGAAACAGAAAAACAAAGACATTTGGATACCATGGTGATCATGGTCAGACAAGAAAGTAAATTAGCTACCATTATGATAATGACCTGGCTTTCCAATTTGCATGTAGCAACTAAGAAGCAAAATAAAGATGCTTTAACAGAATTGCTGCTTGCTGTTTAACCCTGTAGCAATGGAACAAGCAGTCACAGCCACCAAACAGCCACCCACTCTGGGCTTTTCATGTTTGACTGGTTCTGCAGAGGCAAAGTACCTGACCAGAGCTCCCTCCAGGTGTAATGAAGCCTCACTCTGCATTTCTTCTGGTAGCACAGCAGCTTGTGCACAATCTGAATGCACCGTCTGGAAAAGAGAGGGCACAGGATTAATTACACTGTATTTCCCAGCAATTCCACATCGAACCTGGAAACGTCTCTGAAAGCAGCAGCAGGGAAATAGACAAACTCAAAGCCTATCAGAGGAGGATGGGGCTCATGGTTTTGGGCTCCTAAAGGGAAACAACACCCACAAGAAAGAACCAGACCAGACCAAAAGGAGCCTGTATGCCAGTTTAAGCTCAATGCAATTGGACTGACCACAAATGCAAGTTTGTTGTTTGTATTTAATTAATACTTTCCACGCTCTGCTGAGTTACTTAACTTGCAGGCTTTGTATGTATGAGATACTGCACTCAGATTTTGTAAAATCTGGACACAATGGAGCTTTTCAGTTTCTTTGGCCCAAACGATGAGGCTAAAGGAAATGACAGAGTCAAACAAACTGTAGGATTTTTAGTTTCACTGAGGCACGCAGTTTAATTATATTAAAAAAAAGGAAAAAAAGGAAGAGATTTCTGTCAAATTTTCCAGTCTCCTTAAACAAATTACTTATGTGTGAGCTTTGGAATGATCAAGCAATACACCTACAAGCTCTGAAATCCCCAACATACAGCCAGTATATTTGTGAAGTCTCCAAGTCCTGAAGGTCTCTATAGCATTAGTCTTTATACAAACTCTTAGGTCCACAAACATTCTTCACAAATAACATTAGAACTAAATATACTAAATATACAATACAATGAGTAAATTAGCTAGCAGAGGCTATCATTAAGGACAAGACAGAAAATATATACAAATTTGGATTTGTTAGACCAAGCTATTTTTAGTTACTGACATTTCAAAAAACAGAGTGAAGACTTCAAAAAGGAAAAAAATCCTTTTTCCCCCAAATCCTTATTTCTCAAAAACACATTATCTCATTAAGATCAACATCTCTCTGAAAAGACACTACTGAAAGACACTACGCATCAGACAAACACAGAAAAATCAAATGTAAAAAAAATTGCATGGAAGTTATTCAAAATGCAGTGAAGAGTTCAAAATAAGGCTTTAAAAAGCCTTAAGAAATAATATGCAGAAGGTATACATTATTCTTTGCAGACACTTATATGATCCCAAAAATACCACGATGGGGTAAGGACTGAAACAAACTAACTTTAGACAAATAAAGATAAACCCATTTATAATAGCCGAGTATCACATTAAGTGCTGTATTTCAAATTGTATTCTCATAAATTCAACCAAGAGAAGGAAGCAAACCAGCCAGGATACAGACAGCTGCCTTCAGATCAGGAACAGCAATCACTCTGGGAAGAGACCTGCTATTTCTGATATTAGTGGTACCAGACAATGCCCAGTACCTTTCCACCTATGTATTTGCTTGGTTGTAAGACTAAAATTGGCCTCTACAAAAAACAACTGGTTAAGGCACTGACCAGAGACAATCTGGCAACGGCTAAAACGTTTCTTTGTAATCACAATAGCTGTGATGCAAAATACTCTGCAGACATATCTCAGCATTGAAACCTTGTGGTTGTACACAGTGGCATACAGCTTCCTGGGTGAAATCAAGGCATGAAAGAAGAGGGATGAGGAGGGACATAACAGTCCTAGTACCCCTGCCTAAGGAGTCAGAGCACCAGCTACCAGCCTATAGACTCCCAAACCACACTGCTTTAGTTATGAAACTGCTTTAATTATGAAGTTATCCATCTCTGGTTTTCAGCTTTGTGCTGAGGATTCATAATGCACATAATGGACAAAAACCACCCTTGGTCAAAGCAACCCGGATTTCTCTTTTAAATATCAATATGCCCTCCCTTGAGCAGCTTCATATTGTCACCTTTTAAATGTATTGCAGAGAAGTATGACACTATTTGCGCATTCAGAACACCCACTTTGTCTGCAATAACCGCGTCTGCAATGGGATGGTTTCAGACAGGAGCGCAGTGAAAGGACTGCACAAACATGCCAAAGTGAATGGATACAGATGCCCACTGATGGTTGCTACTGCTCATTATTTTTATTCTCATGGGATTTCTAAATATGACCTTACTTTTGAGCCCAAGCATTTCACACCTTTCTTGTGAAATTCCAACGCACTACACCCATCTACAACTAATTCTCTAATTGTCATTAAAAAAAACATTTCTCGCAAACTCATAATTGAGCTGTACAACCCTTGCAAAGGCACTCCTCTAGTTGCAGGGTTATTTGGACAAAATCGGAACATGCTGAAAAGTTACCTTAAGGGAAAACAGCCTATGTATCTTTATCTCTTCTACAGAATATAGTGCTGTTCAAGCCTTGGGGAAATTCAGTACTGTACAAACAGTCAGAGCAAAGCCAATGATCTGCCTAAATCCTATTTCTGCCCTCCAGGCTAAAGCAGAACAAAGCATTCTAGGGGCCTCCTGGGACAGATGGAGTGCTCATGTGTAGTCCTGTCCTCTTCTCTCCTTTTCCCCATCACTATGTTTTAGCCCTGGCTGCCTAGCAGGCTATTTCAGGCTTAAACCTCTCTCCCACTCTCCACATTGCCTTCCAGGCCTCCCATCAGGTCATCCTTGGTTTTTCAAAACTGTCTTTTCAGTTTCTAGACCAAGATTCAGGTTCCGGAAGTCGGGATTCTTGCAATAACTGTTATGAAACTTCTTTCAGATTGAAAAGCTCTTTGTATTTGATCAAGTAGATTAGAAAAAAAATCGGTCTGAAAGGGGGAAATTCATTTCGCTTTCAATTTTCTGGCACACAGAGCATTTCAGAAGTAGAAAAACTTGCTGGCAGAGTTCATGAAAAGCCATCCTGCTCCCCACCAGCCACAAAGTGTTATTTCAGCCAGAAGATTGCTCTGTGACTGGAATTCCACCCAAATTCAAACTTCAAATGAAATCACGACGAGTCACCCCACAGACACTTACACATAGAGATCCATAGGAAATTCTTTCATCATGTGTGTTACAATGAACTCCACCATCAAATCTGACAGGAAAGAAAATGATAAAGTAAGTATTGAGCTAGCTACAGTTAACTTCTAGCAGACAGTAATGAGGAAGTCAAACTATCCCACCTACCTACCTCTACCAGACAATAGTTCTGCTTAGATAAGAGAAATTTCCCACTTTATTTTTTTGTTTGTTTTAAAGAGAATTAGATATCCTCTGGAATTAAAAAAAAAGCCCACTACCAGAAACTCAGAGCATGTAATGTAATCTGCTTTGAGGCACTGCTTCCCCATATGTTTTTCCCCAATATTAGTCAAATAAAGAATACACCATGAATTCTGATGCTTAGAATTGCTCTCGTATTTCAAGCCTTGTCACTAATGGAAAATTCCATTGAGAAGCACATTTTACAAAATCACTCTTAGCAGAAACAACACACAACGTAGATGTTTAGAGAGACCACATTATAGAGAACATCTATTTTTCCCCAAAATAAGTACTCAAGCAAGTAAACCTCGTCTGATCTCAACACAGACTAAGCTTCTGCTTAAGGGTCATTCAAAAAAAAAATTAATACAATGTCTCTAACATTTAAGGGCTCCCAGTGTGAGGACAAGAGGCAGAAAGTACAGAAATACAATTGAAAGAGATAAGTTACCATGGTTCAGCTAATAAATACTAACTAAATGTGTATATGTGTTCTCTGCTTAACCCATGCCAGTGGTAACAATTGTGAGATGTAACCTCCTAGGACACTAACAGCCCAGCGATATGACTCAATAGTGACTAAAAACAGCCTAGGGAAAGTGCGCATGAAAACTGGTAAGTCTAGAAAGATTCTTCACGCAGCTGTTGTGTCTTGGCTTCAACAATCACCTGTTTCCATATCATCAGAGTCATTCAGAGATCCAGGCTCTGTCCATTTCTGCACCCATTTATGCTTTTGGCCTCCACAGCAACGAGTGTCAAAATCTGATCATACACTGAGTGAAAAGCTTTCAACTGAGCCTCCATATCCACATGCAAAACCAATCCTACCTACAGACATTCCTATTGGGTTTTTGCTCAGAAAAGGCTAAATGCACAGAAAACACCTTCCCCCATCAAACACCTGTCCTTTCTGTAGGTTTGCCCTCATTACATCATCTAGAAAGTATTTGTGGCCAACTGTTACTACAGTCACCTAAAACTCTGAATTTATTTATCAACTGCCATCCCTATTGTTACTTATTCAGGTAAGGGAGGTGGCAACAGGCTTCTGCAAAACTTAATGTATACAGGATTTCTTGTTACAGAGCAGCAATCTTGGGTTTAATTCCTCTGCAAGGCATCCAGGTACAGAGACGGATGGTTCATTGCTGGAAATATCTTTAGTACGTAACTGCCCTCCTTTTAAGTCCACCCACCCCTCCCCTTAATCAACAAATCTCATATTTCTACGGCAGAACAAAAGATGCTTCGGGAACCACAAGCACACACCTACTCAGACGATACTCACCAAGCACCGCACACACCAGGGGGCGACAGGGCAGGTTCTTGTCTGCTGCTTTCTTCCTATGTCTCATTGGCTTCAAACACACAAGATTAAAAGAAGTCAGCAGAAGCCTGAAGTGACATTCTGTGTATTACTGTATGTTGTATGCAAACAGTACCATCAGCACAACTTTCCCTTTCTCTTTTTCTCCAACTGCTACCTCACCTATATTAATCCTAAGGGCCATGGCTGGAGCAAAACTGTCCCTGATGTTCAGCATGCTGACCGCTGGGGTTTTGTTTTTCTAGCAGCGTGACTGGAGGGCACCGTTATATCACAAAGTGGGGCAGGGTGGGGAGGGGAAGAGGAAAAAAAAAAAAAAAAAAAAAAAAAGAGGGGGAAAAATATAGTATATCACACAATAGTTCCTCCCTCTTCGTTAACATACTGATCTGCTCCTGACTCAGAAGTCTGATCTGCATTAACAGCATGTGCAGTACTAAATGGCTTTGGTCTTTATTGTAACAGATCAGAAAGGCTAATTGAATGGCAAGTTTGTTGTTAAGTGGGAATGACTAGTATCCTTGCAGTATGCTCACTATACAGATGTTTTCTTCTGCCCTGGACAAGTGCTTTCAAGTGCTTCTTCACTGTCAGATGAGGTGGAACTTGCCAGTACCACAAAGACATAATGCATCAAGTTGGGATAACTATTCAAGTTACTTGTAACTACAGTTTCAGCCAGGTAAGGACACTTCCTCCACAGATACCTATAGGAAAAGGCTCTGGAAAAAATACTTTCCTCCTTGAAGGTAAGTCACCTCACCCAAGATGAAGCATAAGCCAAATTAGAGCACTCGGTACAACTCCAGTTGGCTATTAATACATCGCACGAGGGTTAACACTTGCTCCAGATTAAGGCAGAACATTCTCTCTGCCACTGATTTCCTCAGAGACCTCATAATACACAGCTTATCCCCAGCTACACAAGCGTCTGAATTCACTGAGAGGGCAACCAGCTCTTTGTTCTTTGAAGGAGTGAGACATTCTGAGAGCAATTTCAAAATCATTCCCTAACTACTGTATTTCTCACAGGATTTCCACACGCCTTAGCAATCTAGGTTAGATGTCTGTGACACAGTTTTCAATATACAGGGACTCAAATCCTCTGTGTTCTCATCCCAAAGAGAAAACAGACCATCTGGAGGAAAAGACTCACCATCCTGTGTAGGTTTACTCGAAAATTCATGTTGTCATCATGGAGAAAAGCATTAGCATACTGATCCTATTGAAAAGAGCAAGAAAAAAGAGGAGATATGAATAGCCACCCAAGTGTCCAACACCTTCCACTTGTCTCTCAAATCACATGCGCTTCAGTGTAAAATTCCCAATACATAGCTATAAGGTGAGAAAGCCATCTGTCACCTCCTCTTGTCCCCACCCACATCTCCAGCTGGACAAAAGTCAACCCCTCCTGATTCCAATTCCACTTTAAAGTCTGTACCACTGCTTGTATGTTAGCAATTTATTTGCCATTCTTCTCCTCTGTTCATGCAAACTCTGGACTGCACAGACCAGTGTCTTGTTCTGCAGCACACAAGCTCCTGTAACTGTGTGGATGAACATTTATATTGGTTTGTTGACGGACCCATCACGCCAGAAGCTACTGCAGTCCTAGCAGGTAGGTTTATCTGCTGTCCCACCTCTCAGGGAAAGCTCATTCCAAAACCAGCTCTAAACCAAAGTGATTCCTCCAGATAATGCAGAGCCAGGTTGGATAATAAATATACCCTCCCTTTAATACCAGAAACAAAACATGCCCTTGCTATGTAGAAACAGAATTTCTTATCTTGTATTAGCTATGTATCCAACTGAAGAAGTCCATTGCGAAAAACATATAAATATTTGAAATGCAGATGATTAGCTTTCAGGCTGCACCCTGAAGAAACATGACTTCAGAATCCTTACAGTGGCTATCAACATCACTGCTTCTTATTCTTTGTTAAGAATGAAAGGTCTTTGCTTGCAAGCAAGCAAAAGGCAAATGCCACGCAAACTCCATCACCATTCAGGACTCGAGCCATTAGTACATACTTCCCATGAGGCAGCACCACATTCAGGCAGGACTGCTGACATAGCTCTGTGATACTGCTTTCTCACCCGATTGCCAGATTTGCTACTTGGATTGCTTGTAGGGACCTACACCATGTGGCTTTCTTTCAGACTCGTACCCTTCTTAGGCAGAAGGGATATGGCACTGCCCATGTTTACCAAGAACAGCACAGAGCTGAAAGCCATTAGCACATTACTCATCTAAAAGCCACACCACGAGGTCACTCAACAGCTAAGAGAGAAAAGGCTTAGGTTCATTCTTTTCTCTCTTCATCCCTGGGAGCTGGCTAACCTAAATAAGATGATGCAATTTTCAAGTTTCAAGTCAATTTTAACAATACCGCGTCAGATTTACTAGCAACACAGTAAATGCCTGAGGTCCTCTCTACTCAGTACCACTGCAGATCTTCAGCTCCTGCTCAACAGGAGGCAGGGGACGTCCTTGAAGATAGAGCCCTGTAACACACCATCTGCTGAAGAGTTTCACACAAGAAACCTACCTCTGCTATGCATGTCAGAATAATCAGACAGAGCTTGCCACTGTGCAGCCGGTGCTCATCTGCAAAGAAGAAAAAACAAGTCCTCCATGAGCCACGCAAGCCGAGCAATGCTGAAGGGCAAGATACCTGTTGCAGCATGAGAGAAGCCCAGCCTTGGAGATTCTTTATACTCCTACTTCCTCCATGATAGCTAATAGTCTAACTACTCTCGTTAAACATTCACCCTCCAGCCTGACCACTAGATCCCACCAATTTGTCACTAGCCTGCGCCAACAGCAAAGTTTCTGATTTGAACCTCCAACAGCACTGGAACTATCAGTGGGGCTTCTGTTTCATTCAGTATTACTTCCACAGATATTTTAAATACTGGGATTAGTTCCTTCTTTCTGTCACAGCAGAGATGCACTTTTCCCTCTCTTGGACAAGATGGAATGAAGAAGATCACCTTTGCTGTAGGCTATGAAACAAGCAGCAAAGCCTTGGTAGAGGCACAGCATGGTGTAGCAGAATGACTCCCGACTTTATGCTCGCAGTCCTGAGTTTTAACCCCAATACTGAGAGACATGACCTACTTTGCTCTGTGCAACACCATGGAAGAAGGAAGCCTGCAAAGCCTCAGCATTTTAAGCCAAAGGAGTTCCACCCTGATCATGTTCTGCAACTTGTTATTCATCTTACAACTTCGAGCAGCTTTTACCCTGAATGACAACTGGAGGCCTGAAAGTTCCTCTCTATTTGTGAGTCTAAGGCAGAAGAATGCAATTTTTATTTGGATTATTTAAAATTCTTCTCTCTCAGTTTTAACCTCGAAATATCAAAAAAACCAAGATACCTACAGTCATAGAGTAACTTAGGATGGAAGAAACCTCTGGTCCAATCTTTGCTCAAACCAGGGCCAGCTGAGATCAGGTTGTTCAAGACACTGTCCAATCCAGCTCATTTAAAAATCTTTGTTCTAAAACCAAAACTATTCACACTGCATACTCCCAAAGCCACAAAAACAAACAAACAAACAAAAACCAACCATAACAACACACTCAGAACTAAATTCTGAGAAAGCTTAAAACTGCACATTCCCCGAGACCTCCAACGGCTTCTCTAAAGTCTAAGACCACTAAACATGCCATCCTAGACATCTGCCTTAGAGGCAAACTTGGAGGAGAGGGAAGTCTGAAACAGTCGCATCACTTTCATATAAATCAGAAGACAGCATCAGCCAAACTCCTTGCATCTTTGCAGGTCACTTTTTACAAACACTGTGCTAGTTAGTATGTATATGGTGATCTATAAAAATAGATAGAATGGGCTTAGCTAGCTGTTCTGTCTAGTTTGATGGTTCTTTTGTTTTCTTTTCTATGCTGCTGAGGGACAGATGTTTACTAACAAGATGTGCCCTTAAGTGTGCTGATCTCATCTTGCTGCACTAAGTAAAATGAAGAGGAATTTTGGAATGGGAGAGTTAAAACTCTCCCCTGTGTCTCCTTACCTCAGCTAAAATGTTTAAGTGAAAAGTTTTCTACTCCAGCAAAGCAGGAGAAATGGCCTCAAAGAACTCCGATGCACTGGAGCCTTGTTATTTTCCTATTGTAAAGCCTCCCTGTATATTTCTGCAGGTGCTGCTACCACTTCTTTCTCTGGGGATCGTGCTGTAAAGGCTCCTGTTTCACACCAAGTACTCCGCCTTCAGCCAATGTGTTGTGAACATCATGGCATTTTCAGCAGTTATGGGGCAGCTAACGCAGGCAATTACTCGCATAGACACTTCGTACTTTCACAGCATCCTTCACTAAAGGAACAAAGCAGACCACTTCCTACAGCGAGGTGTATCAGTATGAACCCTATTTTACAGATGAGAAAAAACGATGCAGAGTTTGTGTTTCTCCCAATGCAGCATCCTCTGACCGACACAAGAGAGAAAACAAGAGGAGGATCTAGCAAACGCAGTCTATTAAATTATGGTCTCTGGGACAGGACCAGAACAACTGTCTAGTCCTGGATGTGGAACAAACCCGTCTCCCCCTTAAGTGTCTCAAGACACATGGAGTAAATTAGAGTTATGCCCCCTCCCTGGCAGCGTTCAAGGCCAGGTTAGACAGAGCTTTGAGCAACCTCGTCTAATGAAAAGTGTCCCTGCCCATGGCAGGGGTGTTGGAATTAGACGATCTTTAAGGTCATTTCCAACCCAAACCATTCCATGATTCTCTGATTCTTCTTCTCTTGTTGCTATATTGGTGTCACATAGAATCACATAATCATTTAGGTTGGAGACCTTTAAGATCACTGAGTCCAAGCGCTGCCAAGTCCACCACTAAACCATGTCCCTAAGTGCCACATCTACACATCTTTTAAATACCTCCAGGGATGGTGACTGAACCACTTCCCTCGGCAGCCTGTTTCAAGCTTGGTCTTACACAAGAAGAAAAAAAGTTAGGCAGGGCCCCATCTATCATCAAAATACAAGGACAGGAACATACCCACTAGAATTAATAAGTACTGGTTTGGAAGGCACACTTTTTTTAAACCAGTAGTTAGTGGAGCTCATTGCCACATGCTACCATGGTGGCAAGGAAATGAAGTCTATCAGCCACACAAATTTCAAATGTTATGCAAGCTAGAAAGTAAAGAAAGAAACATCAATTCCCATCTCATACCAGAATAAACTCATCTCTCGCTGGCTTGTTTAGAAAGGAATCCCCTCTATCAGATTTCAGTCCATCTGAAACTAATTCAGTTTGGCAGTTCCTGAGTCCCTATGCAGACTTTCCCTATTACAGTGACTAGTAAGTGAAGTTAAATTGAAAAACATACCACTGTTCTATCAGAGACTTGGATCAGTAAGAGGGACCCTGACAAAAGCAAATGAGAATGATTAGAGAGCTGGTAAGCCCTGCTCATGTGTGCAATGTACAAGAAATGACTGAGCAAAGACTGACATGGTTTAGCTTAAAGACAAAAGCAAGAGGAAACATGAAAGCAGACTTCAAACACATCAGGGCTGACACAAAGAAGAAAGAAAGAATCCGTTCTCAGTATCTATCCTGGAGAAGATAACTAGTAATTAATTTAAATCACAGCAAAGACTTTAGGAAGCACATGAAGCTTTCTCACAGTCAGGGCAGTTAAGTGCTGAAATAGATAGTCTAAAAATGATGCTCCACTATCCAACCTGTTAGCAACATCTCTGAGAAAAGATAGAGGTAAACCTGATTCTGCCTTGGTTTTGAGGGGTGCACCAGATATTTTCATCAAGTCCCTTTTGGTCCTAATTTCAGTTACTCACTTTTTCCTCAACTAGCCTGCATACTAAACAACAACAAGCCAGCCAGGTACAACTTCACTGCAAGCTAGCAGGTATAAGGGAACTCTCCTGCCTGCTCTCTTATTCGGTGCCAAAAATTCATGAAGTTCAGTAATCAAACTGCAGCTATCTTCCTATTTTTGTACAACTGTTACATCTAACTTAACAGCAAAAGTCAGTAATAGGCTGAAATATGGTACAAAGATCACTTGTTATGTTCACATTGTGGTCCTGCCTATACAACCACTGGGCAAAACAGCACCCATGGGTACCTTGAACAGGAGATGAAGCAATACTTCAACTCCAGCAAGCTGAAATTAACCCCCACAAGACTACCAGGAGAAACAAAAAGCACAATATGGAAATAGATCTTCATAAGCAAATTACTGCCAGTACAGTGTAAGTTACTGCCTGTTTAACCAGCAAGTACCAAAGGACAAAGGAAATATTTCTGAGCTTTGCCTCCTGTGTCAGCTTCTAAATGTTCTTAAAAATACAGTTCTCTGGTACATGACTTCCCCTCTCTGTCAGACAGTTGGGAATCAGATACGCTCACACCTCCAGCACAGGGATAGACTTGGTAATTAGGTACTTTTATTATTATTATTACATTCTTTCCACATTAGACTTCTCTCAAGCCAGCATTAGGTCTCTCCTAGTCTCATAACTCTTATCTCACAATAAGAAATCATTTCATCTTCTCAAAAAGTGGAATCTTCAGTCCTCTAAAGGGACTCCAGTTAACTTCTATTTCTGGAGTCACTATACATGTTCTTACGCCCTCATGACTTCAAGAAGCACTGCTTGCTGCATCCAAAGCTGCCTCAACAGAATTTATTTACCTTTTGTGTCCTGCATCACAATCGAGCTGTACTTCAAGAAGGTTATCAGCAGGTTGCTAGTTTGCACATCAGCATCCAAAGGCAGCTCTGCAGAGCTTATAACTGGAACAAAGCAGATAAGACATGTTTACCCTCTACAAATACAAGAGAGAACTATACAGAGAACCAAGTCACAGACTCACAGACCTGGGATAGGTTCAACTTATTTGCAGGGTCACCTGATCTCCTCCTCCTTCATGACCACCCAGCAAAGATTTCGTTTTGAAGACTGGTACCACTCCCGCAGAGACCATTTCTCCTGCTCTAAGTATAGGTTGTGGTACTCAGCAGAGTGATACCCTTCTCTGTCCTGCCCCCCACCCCCGCCTCAAGGGAGATCAGCCTGCTGTTTTAGCACTCATCAGCATTCCCAACCTAGGGAGCTCAAGATATTCTCACCGATATCCAATTAACTCTTACAACCAACACAGCTAAATTCACACCATTCTCAGCTTGGAAAGAAACATGCCCAGCAAAGACCCTTCCCAGTTTCAGCAATTTTGGAATTTCAGTTCCAAAAGGTCCCCATCAATTCGGTTCTTCCCTCCCAACAACAGTCTCTCTTGCAGAAGCAACACATAAGACAGTAATGTAACAATTATTGCATAACCAAAGTGGTAGACAGAGCAGTTTTATTAAAAAAAAATAAAAAAAAAAAAAAAAAAAATCAAGAAGCAGAAGCAATCATAGCTTGTGCTAGAGAAATCAACACATCAGGGAGCAGAAATGTACTTTCCACACTTGCAGCAGAACAGCACTTCATTGACATTTCTCTAGGATACACTCCTTGTTACCACCAGCTGTACTTTTGACACCTTAACACTGGACACCACCTGCCTTAGACTTTACAAGAAGCCATCTCAATTACTCAGCCAATTGCACAACGTGCCTCCTGCTCACTCCGCACGTACCATCTGAAGCACTGAGTTTACGAGCTGTCAAACCTCCGTCATGTGATTGAGCCACATTTTTACCGATGACTGAGCCCGAGCTGTCCGCAAGGGCCATTCTCAGCCTTCTCATTCAGAAAGGCTTTACGAGAAATATCAAAGGGGCGGAAAGATAAGTGGGGAAAAATGCAGCATACATTTACCTGCAGATCCTACAAACTGAAAAAACAAACCACAAAACAAAACTGATGGAGCTAGTCTAGGAGGACTTCAGTAAAGCATTTAATACAGTTCTGTATGAAAAATTAAGAGTGAAGCAGATAGGTGGGAACAAACACAGAAATTTAAAGTACATCAAAGATCTGGCAAAGCAGAAACAACTGCAGAAATTATTAGTCTGGGAAGAAGTTACTACTTGAATCCCTTAGATGTCAGTTTAGTGAATAGGGTTTTTTTGTGAGTGACCTGGGCACAAGAAACAGTTGCTTGCTAATGACTCTGCTAATGGCAGAAAGTTGGGATATGTAAACACAGAGGAGTATCAGACTGTGCACAAAGAATGGGATGAAAACAAGGACCAGATAATAAATACAAGATGAAATTCAACAATGCAATCCATAAGGTCAGGAATTCAGGGATTTATTTCTGTGGCCAGCTGAGAGCTCATCAGCTCCAAACGAAACACTGTGATACCGTGGCACACTATCAGATCATGAGATGACGAGCTACAAACACAAAGCACTGAAGAGTGTGGTCCTACAACATATCCAGAAATGCACTCCAGCAGAGACAGGGACACAGTAATGCCCTGCATGAGGTGCTGGTGAGACCTTCTCTCGAACACTGTGCATAATTATGCTGATCCCATGTTCAAAGAGAATGAATCATACTTGAACAAGTTTAAAGAAAGGCTAGTAGGTTGATCAAAGGAACAGAATGCACTTATGACACAGCAAAATACACAGGTGAGTAATCCAACATATGAAAAGAGCTAGCTGTGTTCCACTAAGATTAACATTATGATAAAGGAATATAAACTGACAAGAAATGCAGGTTGGAAAGTTGAAGATTTCTAACCAAGGAACAAGATGCTGAAAGTGCCTTCCAACACGAATTACTGGGAAACAAGTGTAACAAATTAAGACAGAGTTTGGTAAATTTAAGGGATTCTATGATGCTGTGCCTGCAAGCACAAGACACTAGAGTCAAGGGGAACTCTTCCAGCTCTACGTGCCTGTCCTGACACGACAATAACACTACTCTACTGGCTGCCTAGTAGCTCAAACTCACAGATTTTCACATGCAGGAGGTCATAGGTGGCTTGAATTACAACTGCCAGAAGGCTGTCTCTCTTCTCAAGCTATGAAGATAGCCTAAGATAGGGCTGCCTTTGCACTGGAAACAGATCTGCAGACCACTAGGACACACATCTTAAGAACTGTATTATCTCTTTTCCATCTATCCTCAGGAATGCTCAAGGCTTTTCTCACTCTTGAGGAAAGAAAGAGTTATTTATGATGAGAGTGGACCTTGCAAGAAGTGAGGAATTCCTCACATCTGATTTTTGGATGGCTAGGTTGGAGGCTCTGAGGAGAAGCAATTTGATCATGTACGCAACTGTATTTTGGTTCAGGGAGAAGTCTGCTTTAACAAACAACACCTTTCATAATTCAAGCCTTATATATCATAACTCTGTAATGAGGCAAGTAAGGATTATTTACCCCTGGAACTGGGGCAAGCACGGGCACAGAAGGACAAAGGAGACAAACCAATGGGAAAATTGCAGGATTCTTTAAACGGAGCACTGACAGGCCCAGAGCACAGCAGAGGTTCTCATGTAGCTCAGGATTATACAATCACCTTGAATACAAAATTGTACCCCTTGGAAACAACAGGCCAAATAGATCAATGTAACCTCGCTGTTCCAGTCACATCAAAGAAATGATAATGGGGCTTTTAGCTTCTAAAGGCTGCACATCCCCAAGTGCGAGCTGTTTTAGTCCATTCAGTCTTGAAGCTCTGGGGCTCCTGACACACTGCTAACATGCCCGGTCTGTTGGCAAAGTTTATACAGTGAGACTGGAAGCTTTTTCACCCCCAATATTATGAATAGCTCAAAGATTTAGCTAAAAGTCTGAAAAATGTATTTATATCCCCAGTGGGTCCTTCTGGAGCTGTTACAATGAATGCAGTGAATGAATATTTAACAACAGTAAGCAAACTGACATTTAGATAACTATGGTGACAGGCACACTTGATTTACATATTATGGATCAACAGTTTCTAGCAAAAGTCTCTTTTTTTTTTTTAAAAAAAAAAAAAAAAAAAAAAAGACATCACTGAAGAACACATCACTGCTTATCCTGGTTCATGCTACAGACCTTCATTTTTTTAAACACATATTTTGAAACTTTAAAAGGTCTTAATTCACACTATAGGCTAACAGCCAGAGAAATTTCAAACCAGAATATGAACCCATTTTTAATCCCAGTCCACAGACATAAAAGTGCCTGAAACCCATAGATGGATTTCTACATGTTGCTGTAACTTGAAAATAGCTCAACTACACTTTTTTTTTTTTTTAAATGCAGGAAAAAGAAGAAAGCAATCTTTTCATTCCAAAGCCAAAAAGCCTCTTGCTAACTTTCAGCCATAGGGAAATTTTACAGCTGAGTTGCAAGACCTTAGAAAATGAGGAAAATTCTGACATACCTTTAAAATAACAGCAATACTAAAGCACCGCCAAACTAAACCAAGCCGAGGTCCTCAAGAAAAACAAATTATCACTGAAAGTAGGGATCAGCAAGACGACAGCAAATAGAAATAAAGAATGCTTCCCAATGTAATTGCTGCACACTGAGATCGGATCCTCTCCTTAAACTCAGTAACCTTAAAAGCAGCAAGAAGCCTCAAGCTTCACGAGACCGCTGCCTCTGCTGAAAGCAGGATAGAGTTTTTGGTTTGCTTTTGTTTTTCATAAATTAAAGTAAGAGAGTGTGAGCAAGCTGTATATGTAGGTAAGCATAAATTCTGTTAGTTGTATAATATGGTGTGTGGGAGGATACATTTGCAACGAATACGTTGAACAGAAGCCCACAAAATGCCCGTCCCTCTACATTTTGTGTTATAGGCACAGGGAGACTTGAGACATCAGGGGCTTTTTAACTGAAGCTTTTGATATCCATGGTAACCAGACAGAATTCATCCACAAGGATGATCATCCTTAACTAGGATATCAAATGACCTGAATAACTGATATAACTGAGTAACCCAGGCTGCTTTTCCCTAGAAATATTTCCAAACTGTGCTCTATTCAAACTGACTCTGTTCCTTCATTAAACGCTTTATTCAGATCTAGAGGATACCATTAAAGTTCGTGACAACAACCATTTGATTTCTTCTCCTAAATAGTCTGTGTCTATCCATACCTTAAACAAAAAGGGTTTAACTATAGATGATTTCAAAGCATGTTTACAGGGACATGTAACATCTCATTTAGAAGAAAGATCTCAGGGAAAGCAGTCCTTTACAAAGACTATCAGAGAAAAGGCAACAAAAAGGAGGAATACCTCCACGCCCAGGTTGGATTCAAATCCCAATTAATTCAAAGCTGGGGACAAGTGCATTAATGACAAGCAGGAATCCACTGTGATTCTCTGTAAATCTGTTCCAATGACAAATAATCCCAGGCAAAGAACCTGACACTAGAAATATGCATAAGTAAAAGCCTAGACAGAATAACTAATGGGCTGGGTGTATCTTCATGCAGATACTGGGACGGTACTGTTTTCAGAAAGAACATCAGCATAATTTCATTGAGCAATATAAATTTGAGTCAAAGAATCTTGCTCATGTTTAGTGAGGCAAGTCGCTCCAGGAAGAGACCACTAGGTTACATCTGCTCCAGATAGACCTCATTAGTTGCCATCTTAAGAAAATGCTTTGCTAGTCATTTAACAGGTTTTAATCGTTTTTCCCCAGGAGATCATTACATTTCTTACCATCTGAAGAAGGTGGGGTGGTTCCAAGTGGAGTGACAGGTGTCATTGGACTTGGGCTTGTTGGTGTTGTCATCAGTCCCATTTCAGGATGGCTCTAACAGAAAACACGAATGCCCAGACAAACCAAGGTCAATAGCTTCCCTAGGCACTAGTCATACAGATGGCTGCTCGCACTGTTCCACGCTTTCACACAATGGACAGGACTAATGAAGTTTCAAGAAACTTCAACCTCTCCTCCAAAACGCAAGGCTATGCTTCCCGACCTTAGATCTCTAACAATTAAACTGTACCTCAATTTCTTTACTCCACAAAACAGAAAAATATGTCAGAAAGCGGTGGCTGTCCCCAGCACACAGATAACGTGCCCCTCCCCAGTGCAGAATGGGAAAAGATACGCAGAAGCCTACACTGTTTATAACTCCCGATTCCCCTCAAAACAACCCAAGGGTGTGCATTTGAAGTCTTCCTCCAAGATCCTTTTATTTCTCTTTCTAAAAGCAAATCCTTTTTCCTGTTGCCCTCCACCTGTTCACATTCAAAGATGATGGCAATTTATTACTTCCCTGTCTCACTATAAAGCCCAGGCACTGCGGGAAAGGAGTGCATAACATAAATAACACTATCATTATCGATCCTCTCAGCTTCCATCAGTCAGTTACTCTTCCCATTTCATCTTTGCTAATATTGCCTGCCTAATTACTGCTTAGACTTTACTCTTTGTAAGCTTCCGGATCTATCCACACTGGTGAGACTGTAGGCAATCTGCCACGCTATTTCAAGTCTGGCTGCCAAGCAAAGTGTCCACTTCATAGGGCAAATTTTACATAAATGTATCATCTGCCTTAATATATGATCACAATTTCAAAATAAAAGAAAGAGATACGTAACTGATGATTTGACGTTAGTTCCATAGGATTTTTCACAAGTGGGCATCCTCCACATTGTCTTTCAATATCTCATTTTAGGAGCAACTACAAATGCATGTATTTTATGAGAAGCACAGACGCACATACTACAACTCAAAGACAATTTTAAATCATTACAGGTACCAATTTAAACTTTAAAATACAGTTTTCCATTGAAAATCTTACATAAAATGTGTTCGCTTCCATCGGTTTTGCTATGGTGTTTACCTTTCTTTTCCCCAAACACTAACCATCAGTTGAGAGATAATAGTGCCACCTAGCAGCAAAAACTGAGGACCAACAAGCTGGTAAATACTCCAAAACCTTAACACTTCAGGCACCAACACAACTGTACCCCTGCTCTCCCGGCATGCCCACACAGCAGCAGGTAGTCATTCCTGCAGTCCCTAGCACTGGACACCAACTTAGACAAGAGCATTCATCAGCTTTTGTGAGGTTTTTTTTCCAAAAAACAGCACGATCTCCCTTGCCCTCTCTTAAACGAAGGATTACAGACAATCCACCCCAGAACATCAGGCCTCCACTTCAATTAAACGCACTGATTAGTGGCTGCTTCAGCTATCACTTTCACAAATATCTAGCTTACCCTTTTATTTTTTATTTAAGAGCTTTTTCCTACCCTACTCTTTTCCTTGTCAAAGACCTCTTTTTCCCTCCAGGATATCTTGACCACAGAAAGGCCTGAGTTGGTATTACACAGAACTGAAAGAGCAGAAATCTCTCAAAAGTGGTAGGAATGAGTAACCTGGGAAAGGAGAGGCAGGGAACCTCAGCAAATTAACCACCCGTGGAACAGAAGCTTTCTTCAGAGGCAGTAGGTCTGCCTTTCAGACCTCTTCCACCGCCACTACTGTCAGGAGTCCCCAAAGATCTCCTCCATTGTGCCAAGTGTCTACCCTGTGATGTATGGCTGCACTCTGAGGGCCTGAAATAACTGTTTTGTTGATGTAATTTTTCTCACAGATTACCAGCAGTACTTACGAACCAAAATCAAAAGCCTAAACCTGAAGGTTTTCCTAAACGCATCAGGCTATCCATCCACGCAGCCACAGCACAATCACCGGATCAGAAAGCCTCATTATCTGTCTCCCAACAATAACCACCTTTGCAAACTCACACAGAGTTTGGAAAAGCATCCAGAAGTTTGTGATCACAAAACTTGTGCCCTCAAAACTTTAGTCATTTTCCGGCAAGGCAGGAAGCATTTCCTAGAAGTATAGGAAACCCAGGCCATGGCCTGCTTCTGATCTTTCATGCTCATCTACACCTATGACAAGCATGCAGGGGAAAAAAAAGAAAACTTATCTTTTCACCGATTCCATTTCTGACTCTCATTTCAAAAGACATCCACTACAAAGAAATGGGTAAACATCTCACTGAAACTCACTTGTGCCAGAACTGTGATGAAATTTCGGTTTAAGTGAACAGCTTCATAGAGGGCCAGAAGGATTGCTTCATTCGTTCTGCGGAAAGGATACAGACAAAAGCACAGTTAGTTAAGGGCTAAGATAAGAATCCCAAGAGCAAAGGTTATCAGAAGCATGGCCCATCTGAAAGAAGATGGTTTTTTTAACTATCTAAAACTCTGCCTCTGCAATCCAGTTGTTCTTCCAATTATTAGTAGTACATAGCAATACATAAAAATAGCTATTTTTAGAGATCAGCTACAGTCTTTGTTCTCTTCCTGTTGAAGGTCTCTCTTGTCGCTCAAACAGCATTTTCCCTTTAAAGTCCTTTCTTTTAAGGGCAGAAGTTCCTACGGTCACCACAACCCTCATATTTATCACTTGCCCCCTCGATTTAGAAAACATTTCACTGGGGACAGAGTGCACAAACCATCACTTCCCATCTGCCACCTCCACCATGCCTACTACACGTCAAAAATGCCTCAAAGACCACAAGGTCGGGTTTTTCTTTATACATTTCTTCCCAAGCAGTTCAGCTGTGGCTCCTCCTGCTGCACGTTTCTCACTTAAGTGAGAATCCATGATTTGCAAGGGTGTGGCAGCATTTTAGTTACAAGAGAACTTTTCTCTCTAGTTTGCTTTGCTGCATTAGAACAGTTCCATGATGGAGGGATCACGTTGACCAGTATGGTGAGTTGCCATTCATTGTGTAACTAACATCTGTGCACTTACTGGACTGAGATCTTCTCATCAGCATCTGCTATGAACATGCTGCCCACCTATGGAAAGAAATAGTATTGCACAGGAGGAATTTGTGAGTTATTAAACAGCAGAGAAAACATGGATTTAACTAAATCAGAAGTGCCCTGGGAGAGGTGTTCTCATCCAAGGCACACATGCAACTCTTTCTAATACGAGTGAAGTACAAATGGGCAAGGGATGACCATCTACAAACACATTATAATTTTGCAGTACTGTCACTGACGAGTGCTTCACCTGTCAAATCACAAAAGGAGGAAAAAAAAAGGACTGCATCTTGAATTCCAACCTGGATTAGTCTGCAATTCTGTAAGAGGACAACAGAGATCATTTCCTATGCGCTTGCCCCAACGTGGTAGCAGTTTCACCCACGTCACCCCTGACACACAGCTGTCAACACTGAACTATCCTTACAGGAAATTTTCCTGTCAGTTAGATCTGAGACTACAATTAAATCTCAGACTAAGGCAAAGCCAAACTGAGCAGGGGGAACAGTGGATACTTTTCACAAGGAAGAAATTCACAATTGCCTTTAGAGGGTACCCTCCAAAAACGCAGACACTGCCCACTGCAGAATCCAAGCTTACTTCATAGCTAGAGTGCACCGAGGCTTGAGAAACAAGACAGTAAAGAAACAGATCTCTAAAGCTAGTGACAGACTAGACTTTGCCACAAAAATATTCAGCTTCTCTGTTTTAGGCTACACCAGCAGAGCAGCAATTTGTTTTTAAAAATAAGTATCTGTTTAAAAGTGTCTACCAAGTAATAGTAAAGTCAGCTAGAATGAATAAGATGAAGGAAAACAATTTCAATTATCCACACCAGAATAGAGATCGCATCCTTTGAAAGAGCCTTCTCAGCCAGACAACAACATGCTTCTCAGAATGCAGCCATTTCAGTTGTATTTGGTTTGGATTGGATCAATGCACGTCCTCCTCCAGAACCCACATCCCAAG